TTGAAGCATCATTTTAAATTTCCCCAGACATTTTCTTGAGCGTGAAGAAAAATTATCTAATAAGCCATGTGTCTGAAATTTTCATTTTTGCAAATTAGCAAATTTCGACTTTACACTAGGTAAGTTAAGTTACTTTTTTTCAAAGTTACCTTTTATAAATTAAAGAGTTAACGAAAAAAATACAAGTAACTTTTAACTTAACTTAACTTTATTATTTTAAAATAACTTAACGAGTTATAAAAAATCGTTAACCAGCGACGACCTTACGACGACCGTCGTGTAGGTATTTATAATTTTATATGAGTTAGAGTTAATATAATTATTATTGCTGTACAGTGTAATATTATATTATATATATTTCAGTCGCGTATGTTGTCGACAATTAACCAGTTAAAAACAAATAATAATAATAAAATGCACATCTAAATATTATGGCAAGTGAACCGAACTGGTCTGAGGGTAGAACTCAATATATTATTTACAACGAAAATAAATGAACAGACGCTGGGAGTAATTATGTGCGCAGTCTTTGGAATACCAAACCCGGAATACTTTACCAAAGTAATTTTAATATTTTCAGAATACTCATTTGTTAAATTATTACAAATAACTTAATAATAGTATACTTGGAATAGATTTACAAGACATTGTATTATCAGGAACAAAAATGTAAATTATTATAAGTTTAATAATTTACTTAATAAGTTATAATAATTTATTCTCTTGTTTTTATATGTTGACCGATTAATTTATTAATTCGAATTGTCTGGCATTTAAAAACACATTTTAATGACGTAAGTATTGATTTCATATAAACCGATTAGCATAATATTAATTAATTGACTGAAAAAAATTATATTTAAAACATAACCAATTCTCTAGACTCTTTCCACCTTCATGTCAAACATTTTGAGAGTAAGTGCGTATAAGCGTATATTATTATAAAAAGCGTGTTGCGTGTTCCACTAATTTTATCGGTCATATTATTATATAATGATGTTGAATTACCGATGACCGAAAAACAGTTATTAATTAACCCAAGTTCAAATGATCCTACCTAGATGAATTTTATTTTATTTAACGAGACTGCTGAAATGAGTTATTGCTTTTATACTATAACAATATGCGATAAGTCAACAACATGACACATGCGTATGTATAAATAATATATAATATAATATTGTGATAAAATGATATGCAATCATAATGATAAGGGCCGATTTCCTAGGAGCCCAAAAAAAAGTCGTTTATAGAGGTAAGCGTAGAACGCTGTCGATTACTGTTTTTCGGGCGAGGACGGTGTCGTCGTCCCGAGAGGACGGGCGGTTACCCTCCCCACCCACCTCCAATCCTTCCCATGGAGCACTCATTAATTTAACGCATATTAAAATGTTAATTTCGCTAACCCCTATCCTTTGACACTGCAGTGAGCGACGAGAGAATAAAATATATTATGAAAAAAAAACGCGAAAACAAAAAAAAAAACCACTCTTGTTTATACTCTGTTTTATTGTTCCAGTAAAGCGTTTAAACCCCCACCCCCTCACTGCGTCCAAGCGAAAAACACGAACACCTACCAACCCTCATGCACGGCGACCTGGCAATTTATATAATATCTCGACTCCTCATCTCCATTCTCCACCCTATATCGGCTATCAACCACAATTGACATAATATTATTATAAAGCGCACAATGTTCCCGGAGACTAACGTTTTTCAATTTATTGTCATTCCGATAACTAAACTATTATTATAGGTGTGTATATAATATAATATTATAGGCCATAGGGTGTCCTATAAAGTGCACCCCTTTTAAATATTTTTTTGGCAGCCCTGTTCTTATCATTTCTTATCAAAATCTACTAGTTAAATAGGAGTAATAGTATATACTAGAAATAATAAGAAGTGGTCTGCCAACCAAATTTTTTAAAAAAAATGGAGGCAGATTTAAAAGTTGAGCACTTTATGGGACACCCTATATTATATGTGTTTGCCTTAATAAAATACAACTATAATTCTACACTCTCAAAAATCACATAATAATAATATGATGATGATGACAACCGGTAAAAAATGTCATCAGACACGTCGTCTATTATAGTTCCGTCGATAGTTTTTTTTTTCTATTACACACTTAGACACCGAAAAGGCGATTCGAGGTGACGACTGGACACAATATTATTATGACGTTATCGTGCATTATTATTGTGACAAAGTAATTCGATTTTCAACGGTATATAGGAACACGCGTTTGATGATTACGGTGCTGTATAATATATTAATATTATTGTCGTCGTACAATATCGAATAATATTATTTATTATAAATGTCGACGACGACGATCTCATAACGTACTATCGTCCTAACGCTATACGGTCCGAACGAGAATCGAACAGGTAGCACGAATATTGCACACATAATATATTATTATTGTACTCGCGCAATGCCGAATGCGTTCAATTATTCACCTCCGGGGAAATTATTCGTTTGCGAATTTTGTACGTATGTTCTTTGTGTTTTCGCGTGAATAAAAACACAGCAAAAAAACGTGAAATATTCTCGCGAGTAAAACACACGCGCACACGCCGTTTGATATGCCTACCGAGTTGAGTGTGACATATTACTTCGCACCAGTGGTTTTCCACCTTTTTTAAAATACAGCGTATTTTATCTTTCAAAAAAAATTGTCTCAACGCGCCTGAAAGTCCCGCAGACGACGTGGCAAACGTTCTCAGTTCGGTCAATACTGTACGATATATTATAATTATTATAGTACTATTGCACTTATAGTACGTTTCAACACTGTTCAGTCTTCATAATATATTTAAATCACATAATCATAATTTGTCACCGACCGGCAAACGAACTTGACTCGCTTTATAACTCAAAATATAATAGACGATCCAACTTCGGGTCTCGTTATTATCCTGAGTGAACGTGGAATCGCTACGCTTCATCGATAATCGTTCTGGCACGATTTAACTTTATTTCGGTCTATTCTAGATTTTTAAAAAAATCCCAATAAACAGTACTGACCACTCGAGTTACACCGTAAAAGGATGATATTCCTTTAAAAATGTGGCTGAAAACCACTGCTCTAAGACACGTCCGATGCAGGACGAATTATGCCCATAGTTCTTTTAGAGGCACATCGACATTGTGGGCTGTTATGGACGTTTTGCGGATCCGCTTTACCTACGTGTTTCGTAATAAATTATTGTAAAATAAAAAAAATTAAAATAGAACGAAATCGGGCCTGTTTATAATAATATAGTACCTATAGGTGTATATATATAGCAATAACCACTATAATATATTATATTATATTATTATAGTACTATTGCAGTAGGTTTCATTACGGTTCAGTCTTCATATATTTCAATATCAATTAATCATAATTTGTCGCCGATGGGCAGACAAACTTAACGCGCGTTTAGGACTCAAAATTTAATAGACTATCCAACTTCGGATCTCGTTATTATCCTAAGTGAACGTGGAATCGCTACGCTTCATCGATAATCGTTCTGGCACGATTTAACTTCATTTCGGTCGATTCTAGATTTAAAAAAAAAAATCCCAATAAACAGTACCGACACTCGAGGATGATATTCGCGGCACACCTTCTGAAAACCACTACTCAGAGGTAGGACGAATTATGCCCATAGGTCTTTTAGAGACACATCGACATTGTTTGCTATTATGGGCGTTTTGCGGGTCCGCTGTTCGTAATAAATTATTGTAAAATAAAAAAATTGAAAACAGGATGAAATCGGCCCTGTTTATAATAATATAGTACCTAGGTATAGCAATAGCTGGTATAATGTATATATGTTTTTCGGAGTTTTTCTAGAGGAGAAGGATTTACGAGCTAGGAATATTATACATCGGTGGAAGTTTAATAAGAACGAGCGGTGGTTTGTGTTTTTCCGTCGCACGTCGTCGCCGGAAAATATAATTTATCTGTCGAGTACAATATAATACCATACACGTGAATGTGTTTGGCCGCTACATCATGGGTGTGCTAGTGGGTTCGGTTGGCCGTGTAGGTCTGAGTCGATCTCATTTCGTGTCGCTGCCACCCGTCACCGCGGGTGTACCCACTAGCTATACCGGTATTATATCCGACCCGGAAAACACATTTTTCGTTTAATTTACAACCACTGCACTAAACGTGTACGGGTTTAATAACGAGAAGCGGTTTTTTTTTTGTTTTCCGTAAGACTCGTTTATATGGCCATTTATGAAGGGTTCGCACTGTCGCTTACGGTAAAATACGCGACAATTTGAAAATATTCGAATAATGTAATATAACTCCAAGCACGTGTGGGTATAAGGTAAAATCGCTAACGATTTAACGTGCTCGGAGATTTTGAAGTTTATTATTTCTGTTATGTTATTTATTTGTTGTTATTAAAACGAGGTTTTCCAGTAGTGATGACCTACGCGTTGACTGTAATGCAAACGAATTCCAGATTAACGACGAATAAAAATACGAACAATTTTAATATTGGAAGATTTGCGAGGACATCATTAAAAATCTTTCTTTAAAAACAATACATAATATAATATTATTCTTCACAGATGAATTGATAATTTTTTTTATTATAAAGAAACAAGGCCTCGACTACATGGGTCATTGGCCGCAAATTTGCTTACACTCAAATTAATACATTATAAGTAAATAATTTTAAATATATAATAAGTAACAATAATGTGAGTTAATAGAGAGGAGGGAAATACAGACAGATAAGAAAAAAAAAATTATGATTTAGGTTAAATGGTTTTGAATAAATTGGTGTCACTTATAAAACTAAGTGTATATTGTAGATGTTGAGAGGTTCATTGTTGAGACATTCTGAGATGGTGCTTGGCATGTTGTATTTAGTTCTTTCATCATTAAATTGGCGACATTCATAGAGCAGGTGTTTGATGGAGATTTCGGATCCGCAGGTGATGCATGGTTCTGTGTCAGTTTTGTCCATGAGATGTTTGTGGGTGTGCTAGGATGAGTGTCCAATTCTTAAGCTGGTTAAAATTATTTCTTGTTCCCTTGTTAAGTTTGTTGGGTTAATCCATCTATCGGCGGTGTGTTTAATTTCTCTTAATTTGTTGTCCCTCAGTAAATGCCATTCCTTGCACCATAAGTTTATTATGATATTTTTAGCTTCCCTTTTAAGGTCATCTTTGGAGAGAAAGTTTAACATTTCAATGGTTTGATCACTGGTTGCTTGTTTCGCCATCATGTCAGCTTTTTCGTTCCCTTCTATTCCGGTATGGCTAGGAATCCATGTTAGTGTTATATCATTAAATTGATAATTTGTGTTTGAAATCGTCGATAGTAGGTATTTCATACGATTCTTATTAGATCCACACTGAGCTTGTTAGAATAATTTTGGCGAAGTACCAATATTATATTATATCTCTAGCATATTATTATTATTGCTAAAATATGTTTAGACTGTTTAATATTTCGATGGGAGGCATTAATATCCGCCGTTAATTTGTCGCGCATAATAATACCGATGAGAAAATTTATCGGTGACCGTTTTACGACTAAAATACAATCAATATACGCCGACATACCGCGGTATAATACGTCGCACGACGATTATTCCGACGACTTTTCCCGGACAATATACGCGACGTCTATTGTTGCGTTTAACACGGCGGATATATGAGTATAAAAGTGAAAATTAGAACACCAATCATCCGTTTCGCGAACAACAATGTATAATATAATATTTCCATATGTGCGAACGTCGGATGAAAATACCATCATAACATTTGAATTGAAAAACTACCGATTAATTTCAATAATAATCATTAATAATTAACGAACGAATTTGCACCAGAGAGTGGGGGCGGCCATGCGTTCCGTATTAGGTATTTTCAATTCCGATGAATGTATAATATTATATTGCATAATACATATTATATATGTATATCACTGCACGTTGAACAACGAATTTAATATGTATTATTTTTTTTTTTTTTTTTTTTATCGTGGATTTTCGTTAGTCCCCATAAATAATGCCGGTGTTATCCCGCTGCTCGCGAGGCTCCTCGATATAATATATAGACGGGCATTTTCGAATGCTCGACGTGGAAAAAAAATAATAATAAATTATGATAAATACATCTGTACACATTTATATAATGCTGGTCTGCTGTTGTACGCGTGTATATATTGCACTGCCGACATCGAACGGAGAACAGCTATAACATTAATCTCTCGCAAACGTGAATTATTTATACTTAAATTAATTTCTTCAAAATGATTTTAATTGCTATATCATTATATTAAATGGAAATGCAAGTGTAGGGTATAATGTACACTGCAGTAAAGTATAACGACGAGATTACGTCGCTCGAGCGCCAATTATTCTTAAACGTTATTACATTATTAAATATGATCGTTTCCGTCGGTTAGGTGGTTATTATTGTACTCACTATATTAATAATTTTAACCCGACGTTTAGTATAATATTAAACGTGGTATTTTTTTTTTTTTTTTGTTAAGGTGAAAATATATTAATTTCTTACAGGCCACGACAGTTATTTAGGATAATACCGTTTTGTTATTATTATACAATAATGCCACAAAAGTGTAAATGAAACGATTGATTGGAATTAATGGGTATTACATTTAAAAAAAAAAAAAAATTGAAGAAAAAAAGCTCGTAAAGTCGCGTCGGACAGTGACGTCTCATTTTCCAGCGTAATACGAAACGTTCTTTATGTAAACGTCCATAATTGCTCGTTTAAATTTTCGAATAACGTTCAAACTATATAAATACATATTTTTTTTTTTTTCATAATCATCAATCAAACATCGGAAAATAATTATACGAATATAATATACCGGAGGAGCGGGCAGAGGACAAATCGACGTGTATTGCGTTCAGATCCTCTTCCGCCCGCTCCTCCACCTCCCCCTCATCCACTTCCAACACCACTACCTCCGACCGCCGCCTATTTTCCCTAAAACCCGACACGATTTGTCGATTTTGGACAGTGCAGTGCTTAAAAGCGTACTCCACGAGTTTGTGAAGTGTGTGTGTGTGGGCTTATGCGTATGAGCGCAAACGGTATATAATGTATGGTAGGTAAATCGCCACCGGAATAATCCGATTTCACGGCACTCTATAAAAACGTCAAAAGTTGCCGTGGCCACCGCGATGAGAACTTCGTCGATATAATATACTGCGGAATCGCTTTTGCCGAACGATTCGGTGCGGGGAGGGGAAGAGGATGGGTGATGAGTACATTTTTCATAAATAATATCCAACTTGTTTGTCCGGTATTTCAGCCCAGATCCTGCCAACCCCCCCCCCCCTTATAGCAATGTATGATTATGGATATGAGCATCATAATAATATCACTGCCGAAACCAATAATAGTACAACAGCTGAACTTTTTGTCGCGTACACGTGGTCTACGCACTATACGGTGGGCGACTTTTAATTGGAATGTAAATTGGATTTATCAATTTGTCCGATGTAGACCGTTTTCCAGATATAGTGTGTTTGTTTGCGACCCCGGAAAAGGCAGTCCCCGGTAATGCGGGTCTTTCGCAAAGGTCGGCGATTGAAGAGGTCGTAGTGATTGAAGAGACGCGTTTCCGAGCGGTTTCCGTGGACGCTACGCGAAGCGTCGCACGTGCATAATATTATTATTATTTTACACGATTATAATATATTATAATAATCCGATTCTCGTTCGCACCGACCTCGTCGCCAAAAACTAATATTTATAACGTACATTATGCATGCGTGCGATATAATATTATTTAAATTACTGTATTTACTCGGCGTGGTGTATTTCGCGGACGACACGGACGCCGGACCGCCACCTCACCAGCAAACATTTCCCATATTTCCCATAGCCAAGGATAACTACAGCGACTCAACTTCCTTGCCCACCAAGCGATCCGAGGGTTTTTTGGGTCAGAAAACCTGCATAAACTGCAGGTCTCGTTTGGCGGCGTTTTTCGATAACCGCGCGACTAGGTGACACCTGCTGTATTGTTTGGATCATATTCGAGGAGTCGACCAAAAACCACATTATATATTATTTTATTGTTGTTCGTATCCGTTGGTGTCTATGACTGTCTGACACAGTCTTAAATCGATTTCAAACACGTGTCCAAAATATCTGGATATAACTGACTTTCGGCGTCAGACGACATCTAATCCGACCGAAAACGTCCAAATACGATTCCGGGCCACACACTACACTATACTGTCCAAGAATTTGTGTCGAGTTAATAAATTTGAAATTAGACACGACAGCGTTATTTTGAACAGCTATAGTCGATGCACGTTGTTATTCGTAGTGTCTTGTGATTCCGATAACATCAAACTTGGCCTTCATGTTAAACTTTTTTTATCATCAAAATGTTGTCGTAATATTTAATATTTTGGATTAAGCTGATGGTTAAATTGGTTTAAATGGTTTAAATAAAAAGTACTTAATACTTTTAACATAATAATATTATTATATTTTATATAGGTACCTACACAATGGCATTTTCACAAATGCGAGATTTTCGGCAGAAATTAATTCAACCTACGGTATAACTAATATACAATACAATATATTATTTTTAATAGCAATACAAAATATATAACTTGGAAAATAATTATAATATCATAGGCTGTTTTAGTGTTTTCACTCAGAATCGTTTTTCACGTGCAATGATTCTTCATTGAACTCCAATTTAACACATAATACATTACAGTTACATTAATACTTACTCCTCAAAGACAAGGTAGGTTCACTCAACACCTGCAAGCAGAGCGGTTACCAACTTGACCAATTTTTTTGGATTTAGTTTATTTGTCAATAAATTTACTGACCATGCCATTTAAAACAACGCGGGGTAATAATATTAATATAATATTGTAAAATCATTGCCCAATGACTAATGGTACAGCTGCTGCAGCATAATACAATTTTTATTTGTTCATCGCAAAACAAATTTTCATACAAAAAATTTAAATCGAAAATCTTAAGAATCATAAAATTATCAAAAATAAATTTATTAAATTCCATTGAAAAAAATTATTTAAAACCCGGCCACAACCTACAAGAATGAATAGTAAGTAAGTAGTTATATTCACCAGTAGCTGAAAATTGTATAGTACCTATAGAAATCACATATTTACAACATATTACTGAAAATTATAATTCGAATATAATATTATAAAATAATATGTATAATATGATATCGATATATGGATCAATTAATGATATATTGCACACGTCTACGTTTAATATATTCATTAATGTGAATTTTATTATAATATCCTTCAAACCGACCACATAATTGAACCTTCATAAATTATAATATTATACAATCGTAAAGGAAGATCATTAAAACGCATTTTAATACTATTTTAAGAATATATTATCATGGTGATATTATTGGTTTTGCGCAATACCTAAAAATGAATATTATGACGTCACATTAATTTATTATAATATATATGTATACCTGGTTTATACCTAACGCTTGCCGATAGGAGGTCATGTTATTCTGTTGGTCGCCTATTATCATCGGTGCCACCTCGGTCTTAATGAATTCAAAATGTATATTGTTCCACTCATACACGCAATAGTATAATCACAGTAATAGTCATTTTTGCTCATTATTTAAGAGTTTGGTTTTTTCATTAGCACATTGGAGTTTAAGGTTTTTTGTTAAAACGTGAGTATTTTCAAAAATGCAAAACGTGAAAAACTACTTCGAGTAAGCATGTGAATATTTTATTTCCCGAAACTAGTATGATAGTAAGATGGAAATATAGTAATTTTTACCACCCTTTTTGAAAACCAATCAAAGTGTTGTAATATTAGAAAACCGACCAAACTCCTATGGTGCGTTCTAAAATTTAGATTCGGTTAGTAACAATAACTAAAAATGGGTGTATGCTTTGTTTTTACTTACATGTATTGCTCTCCAAGGTTTTGTTAAAATGTGCGTATTTTAAAAAATGCAAAACGTGAAAAATACTTCGAGTACTTCGGGTAGGTGAATATTTGATTTCCGCTATCCCAAAACTGGTATAATAATACGATGGAAATATATTAATTTTGACTACCCTTTTCAAAACCAATCAAAGTGTTGTAATATTAGGAAACCGATCAAACTCCTATGGGGAGTTCTAAAAATTAGATTCGGTTAATAATAATAACTAAAAATGGGTGTATGCTTTGTTATTACTTACATTTATTGCTCTCCAAGGTTTTGTTAAGATGTGCGTATTTTAAAAAATGCAAAACGTGAAAAATACTTCAAGTACTTCGGGTATGTGAATATTTGATTTCCGCTATCCCAAAACTGGTGTAA